GAGATGAAAAACAATTTGTGAGATTGGTAATGAAAAATATTTGACATTAATTAGACGGAATACGTCTTCTAGCTACCGAACTTCCGTCTTACGTCTTCTATGTAAGAGAAGTTAATTATAAGGTTGAGAGACAATTAAGAGCATCGAAAGCTTAGTAAGAAGATGCTGGTAGACTGCTATCCACTACTCGTAAAAACGACTTGCAGTTTTAGGTGATACTCGAGACCAATTTGCATTATAAACGTAACACCCTATCTAATTGCACATCTCTCAAAACCAACGCAGGTATTGACTATTTAGATATAATAGGTAGTGTACCCAATATTTTACGACAATATTATACCTAACCGAAGTTGTTTAATGCTCGCAGATCGTAGCTTTAATTGGCCAACTAAATTAAATTAGCTCCAGACGCTCAATTACTTAATCAAACGTTAAAATAAAATAACAAACTCTAAGCAACAATGAATAATTGGAACTTGATTAAAGAAAGAGTGTGATGACAGATCATTTTAGATTACAAATTAATTAGTCAATTATATGTATGGAGCGTTCCCTGAAGCTATGACTTGAATGATCAGTGAGCAATCGACTAGTTTTTTTTTTTTTTTGTTACACCAATGTTAATACTAAGTGTGATGAATACATATCAATTTATCTTCAACAGAACTTCTATCACAAAAAAATATTCCTAATACATTTTGCGGCCACATTGCTTCTCGATATCTACAAATATCGTAGCTCCTATGTCATCACACCACGACAAGTTTTCACCACATCCGGTAACAAGGTGCATAAATTAAAACAGATAATAAATTAAAAAAAACTAGATCGAAAGTAATCGATTAGGTGTCGTGCCGTAACTCGATACATTTACCGTAAGTTTTGTAATTGATCTACATTATATTGAGTATAATTTCAACCGAATGGGCTACGCACTAGAGATTTGAAATTGGAATACTTTGACAAAGATTTTTATGCAGTTGGGTAACTGTGTTTCTGGAGTATTTTGTTGGGGACGTTTATTTTTATATCCGCAAAATAAAAGATTGTATAAGTGATGACCGTTTTAAATGATCGTTAGCGTAATTAGGTAGTGAATACGTAGCACCGAGATTGAATAACTTGAAAGTAATTAAGTGGGCTACTTCTTAATAATATTTAAGTTTCAAATTAATAATGGACAACATAAATTAGAATGTTTTAAAGATGTAAACAGATTTTTTTAAAGATCGTTGTAGCAAATTAAAAATATGTAAAAAGTATAAAATAGGTAAGTATGTAAAAGGATAATATTTTCAAGTATTAGGGATACTTTAATATTACAAAAATAATTTCTATAGGTGTTCATTCTAAAGAGACGTTCAAAAGGCGTATTCCTTTTTAGGAGAAACACTAGATACCTGTAACCTACTTGTGCCTGTACCTAATACCTCACTAAAACCACTCTAGTTGTCACCATCAGCACTTAAGACCGACTCCAGCTCCGAACTATTACTTAATATTTTCTTCTTATACTAATAAAGATAATTACTTGATCAGAACTCTTTTACTAATGAAGAACCAGTAGTTGATGGACGGATAAAGGTAAGGAAGACTTTGAGACGTTCCCGATGTATCAGAAAATGTATTATAGTCTATATATGGACAATATTATAATATGTTATTACAGAGTCCAAATAGAGTCAATATAAGATAACAGAGAAGTATTTAACCTAAGTCGAGGTTTTTGAATCATTTTGGACAAAATGTTCTAAGATATTTTTTAGAGACTGTCAACAGTTTTGGACGGACGATTTTATTTCTACATCCAAGACAGACTGAATGAGATCATTACAAACACATTTCGCCCAAACTAAGAACATTAGAACAAATTGATTACACCATACATTGATGACAATAACATATAACAAAGAAAAACACACTTTACTGTGATAATAAAAAGATTCAAAACGCTGTACAGTGGTGGCTGGCTTGGCTAGTATATTTAGTTCTAAATATAATTATATAGCGCATATATCAAAGATGGTAGTGCTAATTCAGAGTTTGCGTGTCTTTATAATCATATGATCATCATTGTCTATTCTCTTTGTAATCAAGAACATTGATATTACGAATGATGTGGTCCATAGAGAACGGTGCACTATAGATTAAAAAGTAAAAAAGATTAACTAGTATCATCTACTCTATGGTCTCGTCATTCTCATTCTACAATAGACTGAATAGGTTACACGCCAGAATTTTTCTTTGGAATTTTTAATTTATCCAATTTCAAAACTTTTCTCGAAGAGGACTTCCGAAAATTTATTTAAAATGTATTTCTTCTATTCATTTGTCATTTCTTCATTTTACAAAGGAGCTGTTTATCATTGTCGATTAGATAGTAAATTATCATATTTTTAATATCCAATGCAGCTGTACTAACATGCGATCATCATGATTAAAATCTTGTCTCGGGATTTCTGCTTACCGGTGACAATAAATTGGTAACAGTTATTCAAAGGACGAATTTCTTCATAAATGCTGAAATGAAATTACTTTAAAAACAATTATTTTTTAACTTAACTTAATTTATTTCATTACTTTATGCAACGAATTTAAAAAAATTGTCGAAAGAAATACTACACCAAGATACTTAGATAGTTTTTGTTTTTAATTTTAAAGCTGTTCATAATCATTCAGTAACCTTTTAACATCGAACCTATCAGCACCTCACAAAATATGATTGATTATCTACTGATCAGTAGCAATTTCATCAGTCAATTACGTTTCACTAAAGGCATAATAATTATCCGAAACTTTCTCAATTCTTCATCAGTGTTATGCCAACCGTAAGACTATTTTAATTCCATTTTTTACTCTGTCTGTCCATCAGTACAAGTAATGTCAAAAAAACCGACAACCAATTCGGAGGGATTTATTGTTGTTTATTAGGGAATCCTAAATCGCTTGGAGGCACAAAATCAAGGAGCGTTCTACGAGTATCAAAGGCTGATTAGGAACCCATTGATTCTGGTATTGATGAAATCGTCACTACATACTATAAAACAAAGTCGATATACGCCGTCAGTCTGTCCCAGTCTGTCCACATGTATGCTTAGATCTTTAGAACTACGCAACAGATTTTGATGCGGTTTTTTTTTTAATAGATAGAGTGGTTTTTAAGGAAGGTTTATATGTATAATACATGCATATTGCATCCTTGCGAAGCCGGGGCGGGTCGCTAGTAATGTATAATGGCGAAATACTGAAACGCAAGTGGCGATTTAAAGACGCTCTCAAAAATAGTTCTGTCACCACAATCTTTATAAAATGACAGAGATAGCGCGATATTTAAGGACAACTTAAAATTGAGTAGCTTTTCAGTATTAGAGCGTAAATCTGTTAACGAATCACAAATCATTCTGGAAGTAAATCATCTGGAATAAAGACCATTCGCCCAGCTAGCAGCCTTTTGTTTTCAGTGCAGCTTTTATAGAAAAGTTAGAAAACCCAAATGCTTTACTAGGATTATAGCTTCGGTGTTACTGGCTACATAGGCTAACTGTTTATCACTACATAGTATAAAGCAAAGTTGCTATCCACCGTCTGTCAGTCCATATATACCTATGCTTAGATCTTTAAAAGTATGCAACGGATTTTATTGCGGTTTTTTTTAATAGGTAGAGGGGTTTTTAAGGGAGGTTTATATGTATAATAAATGCATATTGCACCCGTGCGGAGCCAGGGCGGGTCGCTAGTTATTTAATATAAAACAAAAATATCTACGAATTTTAAGGCATCCAACATCGTATATATACATAATATATACGATGTTATGTTGTCTAACTAGGTGCTACTAACGCCTTTGGTAGGCTTTGGCTTGGCTCTACACAGAATAGGTGATATTATGTGCTCACGCTCAAATATATCGACCATCATTCGAAAAGCATTCACCGTCCAACCGAACATCCTTATCTACCAATTTATTTCACACAATAGCATCATTTAGTTAATGTAAATTGCCAGTGTTATAGCGAGTGATTCGATAATTACCCACCGTAATTACTTTATTCTGATTAAGATCGCGTCATCGTGAATGATGGCTTTCAACGTCATTCTTATTTAGATGTTAGTGGTACATAGTACACACGGCCACACATCAATCTATACAAAACCAGTTTATCCTGGTATCGCGTCGCATCATCTTTCCGCACATTTAACGTTCATTTTATACTGGTTATGTAAGGCTCGATGTGTAGCCGTATGTACAATGCACGTGTCGATTTTAAAATGTAATTTATTTCTATTGCAACACCGTTTTGTATATCAGCCTCTTTTGTACCAAGGAGTTTTTATTGAGCGGTAATTTGGTCGGGTGTTTTGCAAATGTTTGTGATTAGTTTGTTGGGATTCGAGATTCAGTTGGATTAGGAAAATTTAGGAATCTCTTACCCTTTGAAACGTTTCAAAATAAACTTACTTACTTAGTGGGATACTTAGAGGTCAGTCTGAAAGAAGCTGTTTCTTTCCCTTTTTAGGCTATTTAACTCTTTCAAAAAGCTACTTTATTCTTATTATTCTTTAGTCTTATTCCAAAAAGTTAACAACACAGCAATGGTACACATGATAATGTATTTAGGTTCAATTGCATTGCATTTGACTAATCTAATATTTTCCTTATAGTAGACTGCCTCTTTGGCCGAGGGGTCGCAAGTGCGACTGCCGGGCAAGGGGTCTCAGGTTCGATTCCCGGGTCTGGCAAAGGACTACTGAGTTTTTAAAAAAAATCTCAGTGGTAGCACAAAGTCTAGAATTGTGCCCGGTATACGGCAATAGGCTCACGTATTACATGGGATTCACACCATAAGTAGTGAAAATTAGGTGTTACATTATACAGTGGCATTAAGTGCCGCAATGTGCACCTCTGCCTATTCCGTCGGGGATAAAAGGAGTGATGTCATGTTATGTATGTTGTCTGTTTACTTCTTCATTATTAACCACTTGTTTGTATTGTGCAGGAGCGGCTGGGCAGCGGCGGGCTGGGTCTGGGCGGCGGCGGGTTCCGCGGCGGCGCACAGCCCTCCCTCGCAGACTTCCAGCCGCCGTACTTCCCCCCGCCCTTCGCCCCCGCACCACACCCCGCCAGCCCTCATCATCAACAACAGGTTGGTACTAAAAGAGGTTAAACTGTCAAACACCAAGCGGTCACCGGTGACCGCAACCTATTGTTCTATAATTGTGTCTATAATGACGGTTCTTGACGAGTTAATTCAGGCATTTAGAGGCTTTAAAGTCTTGTTAGTTGCAATTTTCTAGTGCTTAGCAAGTCTAAACGATTACTTTGAAAAGCAAATGGCACTTGAAAGTTCTTAATTCTTTTATTGTAAGTATGTTTAAAGAGTCGTTAATGTTCGTATTGACATTACCTTTCTACCAAATTTTACAGATACTTTGGTTATTTATTTGTAGATAAATTGTATCGATAAATATATTTTGTAATATTCAATATTCTACTTTGCTTACTTCCATAAAGGTGGAGTGTTGACTCTCCCTCTATCTATCGTTAGTGAACTATAAGAATTAACTCCCAAAACAACCTTACCGACTTTTTCTGTAGACATTTCAAGCGTATTTTCAAATCCTCCAATCTTCGTAACTACCAATCCTTGTATAATTGCGGCAGAGCCATGGCATGGAGTACGGCGGCGGCGGCGGCGGCACGGCGGAGTACGCGCAGCACTACGCGCCGCAGCAGCTGCTCCCGCGCCACCACGCGCACCACGAGCCGCACGCGCACCTCCGCCACCACAGGGACCACCATGATATACATGCGCACCATGTGAGTTACTACAATATTCTAATACTTCTTATTTAAGTATCCCTAATGCTTCTTTTTAGGGTAATGGAATACACATCAATCTTAACTCAAATAGCAACATGAAGTATACTTTGCTTCCTTTCCATTCTTTTTAAGACGTTATTCTATTAGATATATTCTAAGGTTATATAATTGTACGAAATCAAAAATGTATAGAGATGAAAATACACCCCCAAATACTGTATATAAAGTCACGGAAATAATCAAAAACCATGTCGCGCAGCCTACTGTACTCTACTCATGAGAAAGAACCCCTCTGTGGTTCGAAATTAGTAGACCTTTTCTCAGTATTTCCACGTGAGTAATCCGCGATTTTTAGTTAATTCAGTTAAAACCCATTGAATATGTCATTATTTCGATTTTTACAATTAGATGAGCTTCTCTCAAATCAGATCTCTCACAGGCACACAACCTTTGCTACCATTATCTATATCACTTTGTTAAAGGATTATATCTCTATCACAACTCTCAGTTAATACCATCTTACAAGCTACAACTAATAACAACAAAGCTCCCTCACTGAATACATCGATAAGTATGCAGTGTATCACTAAACTATGCGCTTCCCCTCCGCTCCTTGCAAAGAATTCCCGCATAGTTCCCTCCGCGGGTTTAAAATTATTATGTTATTATTAATACTCCTCTGTTGTGAGTTTCGATCTAACACAATAATATTAGTTATGGTTGTCTATGTCAGGGCGTTACAGCTAATCAGAAACGTAAAATGAAACTTATACCTCCTCCCTCCTCCTCATGCCTCCTCTTGGATATCAAATGACAGTTCATCAGTACAAATGAAGATCCCAGTTTTCAAGGTCTTTTGCTGTCCAGTCTAACCTATAAAATAGTGATCTCATCTTCAATCCGCATGCTAAGCGTGGAAAGCATGGCAGACTGTATCTGTAACTGTATGTAGGAGACCCACAGTCCGGCAGTAGATCTGCAACGGACCTCCAAGGGCTGTTCATGACTAAATTGACAGAATGCGATTACCCAGTCGTAATTTTGTCCTTTAGCTACTTCATTAGTCTCTTATTCAACTTTTTAGAAATATAAGTTCACTAGCAGCCCGTCCCGGCTTCGCACGGGGTAGACAATTATTTATATTTGGAAATTTGGATTGTTGTACTGACATAACTATAATAGTTGGACATATGCTACCGCAGAGTTTTTTGTAGACATTATGATGTTCTTCAATATTGTTGTACATTATTTTGTTCTATCGCTAATAGTTTCGGCAGCGCATTCGACGAAAGACATTTTAAGATTCACATTTCTACACCTTCGGTTACATTGTTCAAATTTTACCAAGGATCCCTAATTTTTTTCAAAATGTAAGAAGACGTAAGAATGCTACATTCATCCAATTTGACATAGGCTACAATGTCAAATTGGAAGAATGTAGCATTCTATTGGTGAAAGATTATTTTAAATCGGCCCAGTACTTTTTGAGCCTATTCATTACAAACATACAAAAATAGGTACAAATCTTTCCTCTTTATAATATTAGTATAGATATAGATATATCTTTTTCCTACTATATTTTTACTCATTGTAAGAAAGATATTAATGTCATTTAGGTAAGTAGGTAGGTACTTACTGCGTAACAAATGGGTACATAGACAAAATACTCACTTATGTACCTATCGGTTATTACATGGAGGTCGCATATTATTCATGTAAATATTTAAAAATAATAAATTAACCATTGTCATTTTACAAGTTCTTTTAGCATTATTCAAGTTTTTCTTATCTTTCATTTGTCTTGATTTGTCTACGAACAGTCGGATCGTCAAATTCTTTGGCGTATTTCTCTAAATGAGCCGATTAGACGATAAAAGTTATGGCTGCCGAATTGAATTAATTTTGTTTGAAGTTAAAACTTTGCACGGTCTACTGATAAGACCAACAAAACTAAATGCGATTTTTTTTTCAAAACGAATGTCGTGCATTTAACAGCAGCGCGCAATGCGTACTAAGCCTTAGGAATTCCAATTTTAATTTGAAAATCGAAGCATACAGTTTTTAATTCACTCCGCTGCGCTGGCTACGACCATCAACAATATTTTCCAGCCAACAATAGTTTTCCAACGACGTTAGGGATGGGATCACTTTAGTAGATTAGCTGCTGGTAATGTTCCGGTTTCCAAAGCGGACCATTCAACACAATACCGTCCGATATTTTGCAGGAAGACACGATGACATTATACGTGATTGAATAGCAATCCGTAAGAAATATTTTTAATATTTATTTTGCAGAAATGTAATGCTATTTTCTGTCGATGTTTAAACTTGTTTGGTCATTTGATGAGTAGATGTCATTTTACCAGCAAAAACCATTGAATTTAAGTCTTCTTGTTATTTTTTTAAAATAGTTATGGGTAGACAAGGGTGTGAACACCAAGCATATAATAAACTCTCAACTTTATCGCAAAATTAAAAGGTTTAAAATCCTATAATCTAATAATAATTTGTTCATAGTTATCACACGGAGGATTTAGTTATGGTGGCGGCGAGAGGCGAGCAGACTATGGTGCTCGGGAACAACATGAGTTGGCCCTACACCATGCGCTACACTCCACGGAAGAAACGCCGGTAAGTGAACTATACTAAGGTATTAAACGGCTTGAATATGCTAAGTATAATTAAGGATTTGTAACAATAGAACGTTTTTTTTAATTATTCTCAATAAAATTTTAAGGACAATTCTGCGTGACCAAAGTTATTTATTAATAAGATCTTTAAATATTACACTCTGCTGTCCTTTCCTTTCAAAACCTTAATACATAATCAAACAACAAAAAATTACAACCTATGAAAACATGTGAGTATTAGGACAATATAAATAAAAAATGCCAATTACATTTTTAAATAAATTTCACCCTCGTATCATCGTCATCGATAGCCATCCAATATCCTACAAATATGTCCGTCCTACAAGGAATTTAATAATAAGCTTACTAAATTAAAACGTTCCCCCGATATAGCGGAATGTCGGACAGTCCATGTCTTTCCTATTTATAATATCAGTATCAGTGCCGGGCTGTATTAAGTAATGTAACGTATTAGTATGAGGTATTAGTACGATATTAATATACATAACATATGTAATATAAATATCGATCGATTCATATGTATTATGGATAGATATTAATATTGATACTCAGTGTCGTCTTTGGTCTTAATGGTAATAAAAACTGCCACGGAGAACTTAACGGGTTATCGACAGTCCGGCTCAAACTACAGGAGTAGGAACGGGGTGGTTTTTAGTCAGAAAGAGTCTGACACTCCCTCCCGCCTCATCTAGGCGGAAGAAGCCTTTCGATGATTTTCCCCGGTTAAATAAAAATATTAAGTAGGTACTGAGTTAATATCCGTTTTTATCACTTTTTTGATTAATCCGAAATATCGCCAATCTCTAATCGTCTTGTAAGTACCTACTTACACGTTAATTAAATCAAAAGTGTTCAGCCCAGACAATATCTTTTCTCTATTAGAGGATAGATAGATTCCTCTACATCTCTTAAAAAAAACTATAATTGAATACTAAAGTAAAGTACGATTGTAACTATGTAGTATACATATGTACTTACCTACTTAGTTCTTAGTGTTGAAATTGTATTAAATCATAATATTATTTGATTTTAGAACGCTGGTATGGACGACACCACGGGATTCATGACGGATCTTCCTTTATTAAAAAGTAAGTAACTACATCTTTAGTTCAATATTTTATTTATTTTATATTTAAGGTGTCTACCCATACTTCTATAACAAAATCTGAAAACTTTATCTTAATAACAATGAAATTGTGCTTGACCCGAGCATCGAAAGATCGAAGTTAAAACACTACACTCACCAAGCTATTTAGAAGTAGATCCATAAATGTAATTTAAACAGCGCATACTCAGATAAAAGATCTACACATTATTAACATATCAAATATTTCATTGTTACTCCAATACTAGAGATGACCTGTTAAAGATAAACCAGTAATTAGGCTTCATACCTCACTTATCGAATGGGTGTATCGATTTTTTTAAATCGATTGTAAAAAAATTCCATCTCATTCAACGGACGAATGAATCAATATCGTATAAATAAAAGTATCGATCAATCAATCGATATTTGAATAGTAGCATTCAATTTCGAATATTGCTTTTTGATTTTATATTCTTTTAAGTTTTACATTGCGGTTAATTAGTCGATGGTATTGCGTAGAGATGTACCTATTACGTTCCATAGAGCACTTATATTTCGTCGGGTATCGGTCCTTAGACAGAACACAATGTTTATTCTACAATATACAGAATTACCTGTTAGTTATATTAACAGGAACTTAAACAAAATCTTAATCAACTTGGTCTCAAACTGTATACATAGTAGGTCCGGTGTCTAGCAAAACACCAAACACCATTTTTGGTTTGAGTCAGGTGACCGATACAACAAACGATTAGTTGAACAATAAGGCCACTTTTTAATGTTATGTTATGTTAATGTAATAGTTTCTTACACAAGTCCTAGATATTTAAATAAAGCTATCACAAATGGCTTTTTACTTCTCACTTCGATGTTACAGAGAACAAAATAATGCATACATTAAGTAAATGGACCAAGAAACGACAATTTCCAAGTAAAAGTCTCACACTTCACCAGTTCTTTTTTCAAAAACATAATTGGCCAGTAATAAACGTGTGCACCTTTAGTTTGTGCAAAAAGGCGGGGTGTTAAATAGCCAGTATGGTGCCAACATAATGACACACTAATGTTTATTGTATTAGGGTTGCCATATAGAAATATTACAATGAGAATAGAGATCACGCTGGGCTCATGTTTGGGGCGTGGCAGTGATTGTTAGGCCACTATTGTTGATATTTGAAGCTGGGTATTTTGTAATCACTCCAATTTTTGTATGACTTTTACACATGTGTTTTTTGTGTTTAATGTTATTTTTTTACCTTTCTATTTCCAAAGTTTAGGTTTTATTGATTTAAAAATAAAACAAATGACTGTTTGGTCGAGTCATCGCAACGGTTACAGTCGAATAAAATTGTTTGGTTATGATTCCTTATCAGCTTTTATTATTAAAGTAAAAATCAAAAAATAGAAAATTTAAAGAATGCTTTGTCCTACCCGTGAACCAAATAAAACACACCTTGCTCGAGAGTAACGCTTGCGACCACTTGACTAACAAGGTAGTCCATAATAATTAATCAAACAACATTTCCTGTTTGTAGTCTCAATACAACACAATACAATACAGGATGCAATCAATACAGTACCAATAGCAAATGGGATACTATTTATCAGTTTCATAATTTATTAATAGCTTCATAATGTTGGTACTAATGCCGCAGTATTTAGTATCGCCAGTCATGAAAATTTAATTTTCGAAAGTAGTTTTAGAATACACTTTAACCGCAAGAAATTATATAGAATTTCTAAACTCGTAAAACGTCAAATATCTATAAAAGTTGCGGATTCAGTTATTTACTCTTTAGTTCTTTACTTACTTCGCTACTTGAATGCACTTTTCATTAATCCAAACTGCATGGAGATGTTAATGCTGTGCTATTGAAAACTTCGCGGTCAAAGCAATGATGCTCCAACGACCAACAAATACTTAAACAGAAGAAGTGTGTTACAAGTCTTATAAGTTAGAATGTAATAAGAACGAGCTTAAACACTATTCTTGATTACATATTAATATTCAAATTAGAGCGCACCTGGATGTAGGCCACTTCCAACTGGTTGATCTGGAAGGCATTGAGGCTGTAATCATGATAATAGCTGAAATTGGGAACGCGATATCTAATGCTTACCAGTTGAACTAACAAAAATTCTACCATCAAAACGCGCTAACTACATATTTCACATAGGTCTAAACAATTTTTCCTTTACAGCAATGAAAGGTCGTGACGGGCTCGGCGGAACAGGTTCCTGTGCACCGAACGACGTGTTCTGCTCAGTCCCTGGTCGACTGTCACTACTGTCATCCACCAGCAAGTACAAAGTGACTGTAGCCGAGGTGCAGAGAAGGTTATCGCCTCCTGAATGCCTCAACGCTTCTCTTTTAGGTGGAGTTTTAAGGAGGTAAGTCGTGCATAGTTTTATTTTTGACTAGCGTACTGTGGCGTGAATTAGATTTTATCATTTATTATTTTTTAAATAGTATCCATTTGTAAATCTGTATATGTATAATGATTCAGTTGTCAAGCCCAACATACGAGTACATAAGTTCTCAATACGTTGATGATTATTTTACACCCTTCAATTGCAATTAAATTGACATTTTCTAGACTACAACTACGTATCTTGCGTATCTGTATGCCCAAGAATGTCGTTACGTATGTAAAAAATGCCATTAATTAATAATATTGATTGATTCACCTACAGCTGCATATCTATGATGATAAGCTACAATTTCATTGAAACGCTAATTACTGTATGCATAGTATATTAGGTAATTACAAGACAAATTCGCATCAGCCGCCAACTGACCATAATGTTGAATTTACTCGATATTATGCTCTTGTTCCGCTAGTGCGGTTTATTTATTACATTTTTTGCTCTGGTAACACTGTACAGTTTGCGGCCAGCGATAGACATGTTTGACTTTTAAGATCGCATCGTTTTGGTTAGCGGTTATTAAGATATTTAGGGTACAATGAAATGAAATTATCTCTATTTCTGCTAGAGCATACTGTCTCGTCTTCTTATGGCCTATATAAATGGTTTCTTATTCCAATTTGATCAGATATACGGATTAAAAAGACATTAACCATTTAATTACTTAATCGACAGAAGATCCAGCATAAACACAAGCTTTGTATTACAAGCCCTAGAATTATACTAGTCTTAACCATACCCTTAGTAGTTCTCATAGTTCAAAAGCACTCGAATTAATGGAAAAAAATATTTTATTTCAGTAAGGTCAGTGCTAATTACTTGACAAATTATTTTATTTCCTCTGCTCTTCGTCAATAAAATTAGCATTCAACAATAAAATTCAAAAGCGATACAATTTTAAATTGACTACATAATCGTTCGAAAAGTGTAAAAAAGCATGTAATTGAATATTCAAGTGACTAGTTTATTTAAATTACGGAACCCGTAAATACTGGTCAAATTACGCAGACGCGCGGTGCACTTTTTGTCGAAGCGGCGGCTCAATGTGGGCTGGCAGAAACGCCGTTTCCTTTATATGTTTATTGAATATAATTATCGGGTATTACTTCTAGATATCTCATTGTGATCTCAGCCTTCCATACACACCGTTACGTTAAAAGTAGCTAGTTACCTTTTTGCTACTGGTTTTTTATCATATTATTTTTCTAATATAGTTTTTCAACTGTGAAACCAGTTCCTTGATACGCAAATTTCTTTTAACACTTGACAAAATAATGAACGTTTTTAACATGGCTCGTCTACTTACGCATAATAATATTTAGTCGGATTCAAACATTCGCTGAGTGTGAAGTGTTCGCAAAAGCTCGCAAGTTTCGGCAAAAAACTGTCCGGTCATGATTTAATAAAAAATCCAATTATTCTACAAAAGGAAGCCGTAATGACTACCTGTCCAACTTATGAGGTCATTTAAGCACATCCTAGTTGGTACGTGATCGTTGTAATGAACCTAGGATTGAAATTAGGGCACTTTTAGACATCTAGGTACCTTCCATAATAAACTCAAGCTGATCTTATGTACCTAGAGTTAATAACATTGTTGCAGCGAAAAAAGTAAGTAGGTACTCCGTACTATGCAAACTTGAAAGCCGTTATTTGACGCAATAAATACATGTCAAAGACCAATTTACTTGTTTTATTATTAAATTTAGAACGCGATAAACAGCGCATCATCGTCTCCCTAATTGCCGTCATTACGTGCCGATGGTTGTGTTGTCAAAACGCCATGCATTCGACTTTGCGGCTTTAGAAAATAATTTATACGATGGCAACACCGAATAATGGCGGGAAACCGGCAGCTGCTTGTACTTACAACGCGTTGAATATTTCACATTCTCAACTCGGTGTCGCCTTTCATGGTAATTACATTAATATTAAATAAATTTACGCTAAAATACAAGTTGAAACAACTGGGTGAAACTTTAAAGCACAAGCAAGTTTACATAGGTCGTGTAAAAACCGTTTAATTTTTGTGACAAGATAATTGAAATTGGAAATAAGTCTCATTATTTTGTTCGTTGTCATAGAGCTGTGTAATTGACAATGGGAACAGAGATCTTGTAAAATTTTGAAATTTTATGTGATCCGATCGGGGCGTGCTGTATACCTATCGGGAGAAGGGACTCGGCGCGGGCCGTCCAACCGATTGAAATTCCCGGGTCGGTTTCCCGAAAGATTTTTTTTAGTTTTCAGTGAAAAACGAGCTTTTCACAAAATTTTTGTCGATTAAGAGAATAACTCCATCAAAATATTTAAAGGTGTTTAACCTTTGCAGGATAAAGTAGTTGAGTTGCCTGAGTGAATACTTTACAAATGGGTAGGTTGGCACTGCCTTATAATCTTAGTAGGTACGTAATAAAAAAGTGTGGGAGATCCATGTTTCGGCACGAATGGGCCGGCTCAACCGGAGTGATACCACGGCCTCACAGAAAACCGACGTTAAGCAATGCTTGCGTTGTGTTTCGTACCTAACCGAAACTTACCTACCTAAACAGCAGCTGTAGCCAAATGCCATTTAGCGCTTGTCTACTTGTAGAATAGAAATCCAAATTATATGGAATTGACGTAATTTAACACTACACACTTGTCGGTGTCATCCCCATACATTTAGTTTTCTACTCTCTCTGTACACAAGTGCTAAAGTGGCGTTTGGCTAAAGGCACAGAAAGACGAAACAGGGTCTTAAAAATGTAGTAATAGGTATGTACATAGGTACACTTATGAGTATTTCCACTTAAAAACAAAATTAATCACTCTAAAAACCTCCAGGTTCGAAACCTCTCTCCACAAAAGAAATGCTGTCAAAACACACCACTACTGCCACAAACACCATTATTTCTAAATTCAAAAACCTCATTGTGTCGTAAGTAGGAACGCCATTTTGATTTAATCAATCGCGTATTATTAATGGACGGCCGCCGGTTTACGATATGATACGAGAGTTATTTTTATTATTTTCCATATCGATTCGGTAATTGGAGATGAAACGATCTTGCATTCATCGATACTCGGTCACATTGAATCGGAATTTCTTTACAGTCAGTAGGTAAAAGCTAAAATATCGATTACTCAAAAATTTAATTCGTATGTCAATTTGATATGAAGCTTATAAAGAGCCGCAGCAAACAACACATGTGGGAAATCGGCCAACGGTATCTTTTCGTCATAATTATCGTACTTGAATCAAAGACGTGTACTTGATTGATAATCTCTTTAATCGGACACTCGAGTATCCGATACATACTCGATATTGGATGCCCATTAGTTCTCTTCCAATCTGTCGATTCATTCGATTTAGTTTTCCATTGATTCTAAATTCAAATTCATTGTTTGGCTCGTTAGCTCAGCGGATGATTCTCGCTTCTTTTGTAGTTGACTAAACGAACGTGTGAAAATATTAAACTCGACTAACGGGGCTGTCTAATTACAATTGTGATTATTTTCACCTCACTATTGTGATAATGAAAAATAGTGAAATCATTGATCAGGGATCACAGAACACAAGCTTTGCGGCTTCTAGTCAGCCAATTAAATCGGTGTTTCTTTGAAATGTTGATTTTGTTCGCTCATTTGACTTCAGCTAACATCGAATGGTTTAGAAATCAATGTTGATACTTATCATTTGAGTTATATTTGATTTGTAGATTAACGAAACTAATCATTTGGTGATAATTCACGTTTTATTTATACGACTGTTTTGATTAGAAAGCATTTTAATCCAGCATTAATATGTACGGTAGAGTGAGGAAGTATTTGTCAGTTCTTTACGATAAAATGTAATAAAAAATGTGTTATGAATATTACACTAAATTAATACGAATTCCTTTATAATTCGTCCGCGTCTCATCTCGAGGGGGCCAGAAGACGTACGAAAAATGAAACTTATTATAGTCTGACTATAGGTAGGTACTTATTTTATAAGAATATTCCTTACCCAACATTTGAATAGAAACAAAAATGCTAATTGCTTTAGTTTCTCGTACCCAATTATTGTCTTAAAAGGCTGCGTTCGTGGGGATGTATTTTAAAAAAAGATAATTCAGAAAGTAATTTTTCTGAATTCCAAACCGACTTTCATCTTGTATTTTAGCTTACCTATTAAGGATAGGTAACCAAATACAATCAGATATCTGCCATAAGCACTGACAAATCTTTAGAAAGATTATTCAATGTCTGAAGGCAAACCAATTAGGTGACAAACTTACGAACTATGTTTATTAATTACTCATTTGTTACTTACTTATGCCAATAGAGAAATCGCATTTACCTATTTGAAATCAGAACTTTTAATGATCAAATTGTTATCAGTAAAAAATGGACCCCATTATCATTAGCATAGCGTTTAATTCTATAAATTATGTTCAGATAATCGAGCTCACATTCTTGAACCAAATTCAAAACATCAAGTTTATAGAAAACAATTTTACTAACGAGGTTTTATTTCAAAGCATAGCAGTTAATACTGGTAGCCATTTTTAAATATCGAACCTTTATCTACCATTTTAATTTTACCATTAAAAAGTTTTAAAACATTCAACTTCCGACCCTATTCTGTACCACATAAGAGAATTGATAATTTATTCAACGAATTTTTGTCTTGGTACTTTCTATGCGTCAATCACGAATTACAATTTTGACGGTAATCGATAGGTTATCGGTAGCTGCCATCTAGCGGGCAGTAGCAGTACTATTGATTGACATGTGACCGAGCAACAAAAGAAATAAGTAGCCAGTAGCTACTTTATTTTTTACGCACTGACTTGCAAAGGAATTCAATACCCTAATAATACTTTTTATTTGCTTAGGCATTTTTTCGTTTAATTTTTTTCATCACAGTAGGATAAAGGTTTTAAAACATTATTGTTTGGATTGTTTTAGAGCAAAGAGCAAAAATGGCGGGAGATTGCTGCGTGAGAAATTGGAAAAGATCGGCCTGAACTTACCAGCGGGGCGGCGGAAAGCTGCCAACGTCACACTCCTTACGTCCTTAGTTGAAGGTAAATATAATATGCTTACAATATTTTCAAACTTGCAACATTAGCACCGATAATTATACGACCGGAGTTCTAAGTATCCCAAAATCTCCAATTTCAAATTGGTTGAATGACTACAAAACAAGAGGTATCGATTTCGATGCGTAATAAAATCGATCGATTGGACACCAAAGTTTATTAGAGTCCTACAAAGTTGATTAAAATCATGTATGTCGAAAATCTTATACAGAAAAAAAGCGACGTATTCAGGGAGGGTTAAATTGGGTCAAGCAAGTGTAAATAGCTTCAGACCAAAGAATTTTTTTTCTTTCAACTTAGCATTAGCATTCCAGTCAAGTTCATTATGGCCCCTACGAGACAGACTTTAAGGGATATCAGCACCTATACCCTGTTACATAAGATATAAAATCCTTCAACAGCGGAAGCAGTGCACTTAGCCCGCGACTTCGGCTACGTGTGTGAGACGGAGTTCCCAGCGCGTGCACTCGCCGAGTACCTCGCGCGGCAGTACGCGGAGCACGACTCGAGGCGTAGAAGGGACCTGCTACAGGCGACTAAACAGGTAATTAATGGCGAATTTATCATTAATATGTGTAATGTGACTGCCTCGTTGGCCGAATGGTCGCAAGTGCGACTGCCGACCAAAGTGTCTAGTGTTAGATTCCCGACCGATGCCAATAAGGGGTTTTAGCATATCTGCAGGCTAGGGCAACGTGGATTTCAGTTTAAAGGTTCAGATTTATAGAGCGCTGCTGTCCGGTCTGTCAATTGCATAGATATAATTATTTCTGTAGTCAAATGTGTAGCCCCTTAGTTGTTTTAACGACACCTTCGCTTACGTGTATTCTACTCTGCTTTCTCCTACAGGGAACATGGGCAGTTTTATTAACCCCCTAATCTCTAAGTCCCCAAAAAGCCGGCAACGCATTTCTGGCGACACTATGTCAAATGACACGATGACAACAACATTAACGGATGGCGTCACAAAAATCCTACATGCAAAGTTTACATGCGAATAAACACGGATAGAAAATCCCTATAAAACAACTGTTGGACAGAAAGACACGAACACCTCGCCTGGTCAGAGGATCTTTACTCTCTGTTCCCTAAACATTTATAACTAATCTCGGGTTACAAACCATGGGCGGCGCCGATTTCTTACCATCATGTGTTCCGTCTGCTCGTTTATCGCCCAATCCCTTAAATAAATGTGACTCTCTAATGATTTTTTAAGTTATTACTTATACGATTAGCCTTTGAGAATCCGAAGTTTTCCTGGTCCCATACAAGATTAGATATAAATCGCACTCGTTATAACGGTTGAAAAGATTTCATCAACATCAACAACAGCGTCAAGAGCCTATAAGTGCCCACTGCTGAGCAAAGCCTCTTCTCACACGGAAAATGTTTGAACATTAATCACCACGCTTGCTCAATGCAGGTTGGCGATTACAAACGATTGGCGATTATAATTGAAAATTATAAGCCCAGGTTTCCTCACGATGTTTTGCCTTCACCGTTTGTCAATGGTGTCTAAATAATCTTAGAAAGTACATATAACTCGGAAAGCATACATGAGAAGCGGGCGTCTTAAACTTCCGAGCCACTACGTCTACAAAAAGATTTCAACTATTTTTTATTAATAACTTTATATTTGTACAGGTTATAAAGGAGCTGATGGACTTGTTGAATCAGGACCGATCACCACTCTGCAATACCAGGCCACCACACTTACTAGAGCCGGCAATACAGCGTCATCTAACACATTTCTCACTCATCTCACACGGGTTTGGAGGTCCAGCTATAGTGGCCGCGCTCACAGCTATACAGGTGTGTATTTGAGTACATCATTATTTACGTGTTGCTGAAATTAATAACCATCCCAAATTTCCATTAATCAAAAACCATTGTATCTTATATCGATCTAGCATTTTTGACAGTAATTCCATATAACAGACGTCCAAAATGTATCGTTTTTAGGTTGACACTGTTTATTAATATTGGCCAATAACCTGTTGAAATATCATCCCCTAAATTTGTTTATACAAAAGTAGTCTCTAAACATCGGAAATAAGGTCTGCAATGTAGTTAGTAGAGAACAGTTACTAGTGACCGTTTGGGGATTTTAAGAATTATGGATCGTGAAACGGTCATGGAATCTATACTAATATTATAAAGAGGAAAGATTTGTATTTTTGTATTTTTGTATGTTTGTAATGAATAAACTCAAAAACTACTGGACCGATTGCAATAATTTTTTCACCATTAGAAAGCTGTATTATTCAGAAGTAACATAGGCTATATAATATCACGCTAGGTCCTATAGTTGTGGAGCAGTAACCAAAAATGTTTTAAAAACGGGGGAAAAGTATCGTTTCTGAGGCCTTCCGTGGCGTGCGCTGAGCATATAGTTAAAGTTATACAAAAATGCTCTATAGATGAATTGTTCATCTTAACATTATTTTTAAAAAAGTCCGCGAGAGCATATGTCTACCTTTTATAGTTTACCCATAACAATCGTTTTAATGAATGGTTCAATCCTTATAAAAGTTTGCTCTAGATAACTTTTGAATTGTTCAATAAATGAAGTCCGGAAAAATATTTTCAAAAGGTAAATACTTCCTAAATAAAAAAAAACTGAGAATAAATATAAATAAAACGTAAAACTATGTAAAAAATCTTAAGTCCCCCCGTGCGAAGCCGGGACGGGCCGCTAGTAAAGAATAAACGCAGCACTAAGAGAAAGCTAATTTACAATACACAATGTAAATCCATTAATTTGATGTCTAAGTTGGTTGTCTTCAAGATTATTTTTTGTGATAGGATCGCTCATTGTGTTGTCATTTACCCTTAAATTAAAAAGTATTAATATTCCTGTTATTGTAATTTGTTAGAGGTCTTAAAAGAATATTAACTGTTATTAAATAAAATTATAAATATTATAATTTTTTTATCAATAGCGAAAATATCAATTCAGTCTTTTTTACGCCTACACTCACACTCAATTATCACTATAATATTCTAAATCACAATCCTCGCAATTTAAATGTCGGTCAATCGCTATACCGCCAAATATGTAGATAAAATAGCGATTATATAATTAACTAAAATTGCCCTACTAACGGTTTATTTTTATTTTCTTTTCCAGAACTTCCTCAACGAATCTCTCAAGCATTTAGACAAGTTATATCCTCAAAGCGGCATGGTGTCATCGTCGATGGATAAAACAAAAATGGACCCTGACATCAAGAAGTAACAAATGCGTTACAGCAATGACGACGGTCTCATTAAAAAAACTCGCGACGAGAACAAACCTCTCGCGTACTGTTCAAGTAACAGACGAAAAATGAATCTAAACATAAAAGTACTGAATTTGACTCTTGCCTTCAAATCAGCGCTGTCATCGATTGTCAAAGTCATTATGTATGCACTCTAAGGCAGAGACGTGCCAATCATACAGCCAAGGCATAATGATTTTATCTCTAACTGCCATAAAATGTTCGCGCAGAACATCTTTGGAGATTGCGTATTTATTTTTATGACGATCTTCGTTAGAGGCGACCCGCATACAAATAAAGTGCAATTATAATACTCATGATTGTGAGAATCTGTACATATAGCCTAGAATTAAAACTAGTGTTTAATTTAAGCATTTATAGCGAATAATTTTCAGCTCAACCAACAGTGATTTTTGTAACTGCAAAAGAATATTTTTAATAAGAAAATAAATATTTCACATCCACCGCAATAAAGACACATATCAATAATGTAAATAGTAATAATTATAGAACGAAAGTTTTATCGTTTCTCACAAAAGTTTCATACTGTTTTAGATTAAAAAGAAAATAATAAAAACCTCTTTAGTTTTTAATTAGGGTATAGTTTTGCTAGCGACTCAATGTGAAAGTGTGCCAATTAGTTTTAATTAAGGAAACACCATAACGGGTTCCCGGAAATTAAGTATTTAATTAATATTTATTGTGGCTTGTACATAATACTTATAAAAATTACTATTCACTTGCCTATAATTAGTTTTTTTTCTAAAATTATTCTAGTATTCGACATCTGTCTCTTACTCCAATTAATTGTATTTAGTATCTAAAGTTAATTTTATTGCGTGATATTGTAAGTGTGATCCTTCATTCAATTTTGTTTATATTAAAATGGAGGTGGTCTAAACAGAAAAAGCTTTGAAATACCACGTACATGCAGCCAATTTCGATGCACATTCAATTTCGATCCAAATCCATCGGTGATTTGCTTATTCGACGTAAAATTTTAAAACATTTATATTGAACTTATGTCAAAATTCTATTTCTGTTTGCGGAAATCTATCGACAGACATTGAAACTGGCTGCAAGACCACCTCCACATTTTGTTTATCAATCGACAAACAACAATTTGTACACATCAGATTAATTATCCTGTCATACGAAAAATATATCATTTCTTTGTAAATAATGTGTTTAATAAATCCATTTTCCCTTCAGTTTTATTGCTAAGGATTCAGACTCACCGAAACAAGAACCAAAAAGGTTTGAAACAAAAACATTTCCGTCTCTGTCGCACGGTGTCTCTGTCTATTTAGCACTTCATTCTTTTAATCATCTGTGCTGTGTTGTAAAGAGCTGTTTAAAAAAGTTTGAAATTCAAACATATGAATTCCATAGTAAATTATTTTTGTAAAAAGAATACTACTACTATATTTTTTTACGCGAAATTGAATTATTTGAAATTAAATCGCTGACAGAGTAAATAAACCTAAGATAATTTTAATTCTGACCATTTTATTGACACTGAAATTAAATGCCATTTTACAAATATTAGGCAAATTATTAAAACTGATACAAATTTAAACAACAGATTCTTAAAATGTGTCAATAAATGTGTGCCTCTGTCCCAGTTGTCTGTTCCATCTTTGCTTCAATACTTTCAACGTTATGTGGTAGTGATAGGGATCATTATTCTATGTCAAATAAGAACATTCTTAAGCCTTTTTGTAAAGAACTGAAAATTTTATTCAATCTTATCAATTAAAATTAATGGTACTCTGCACTTTATGGTAAGTTTTTAATATTGTCTTAATTTGATATTATTTTATAATAATAAATGTAAATTTTTCAATACCACAACGTACTTAAATTTTGTTTCGTGGAGTAAAGAATGATGTTATAAAAGAAATTGTTTGATTTTATTTAACCCTTATTTTGATTACTACTATAATTATTATTCGCTGCTGTTTTTGTGTCTCACTGGCGCAACGAAATGACTCCTTTTTTTACCTGGATTGATTCTAATATTAATAATATTTCATTTCCATAAACCAAACACGTAAATTTATCAATAAAAGAAATCTATAATAATTAGAAAATACATAGTTAAAAATTACTGCAACAAATAATAGGATTTTAAAAGCAGCGCCATCTATAATCGAGTAGCAGAACTATTATCGGTGTACTGTGTAATAATTTTTTATTATACAAATAATCAGACCGTTTATGTTGATAATGTTTTGTAACTTTCTACACGTTAAACATGGATACGTTTTACGTGTAGTTTTAGCAAATTATATGACTTCTTGTACTATGTAATTTCTTTATGCCGTACGTCACTAGATGGCGTTGTAGTAAGAAAAAAGTACCCATTTTTTCGTGAGCTATACACGTAGCGGGCATGTATGATTGTATTGTAACCTTGCACCCAAACCCTAGCTTGTACCTGGCTTGTACCTATGCAATGTACCTATACAACATTTATCCGCACAACTCGGTTTATATGCCTGTCAATTTTGCTTGGAAGGTTAAAAAATGTGTATACCCACCAAGATGTTTGAATATTCCTTACATTATAGACGCATGCGTACGTGCGATGCGTGGTGTACACGTTTCGTTTGGCATTTCCACTGATATGATATGTTATATATCTATGGGCTTTTCCCATCTATCCAAAATCCTATAAAAAAGACCATAGACAGTCTCAACTCTCAAGTGCCCAAAAATGGCCCAAAGGCCGACCATTGCATATAAAAAAAAATGAACTGTCAAGTGTATTGTGTATACTGTATTGTAACGTCAAGTCAACGAAAGCGATTTTGGCGGTTTTGAAGTTTTAACAATTTTTAATTGTAATTTTGGGAGTAAATAATATTCAATATGGATATCAGTTACGAGAATATGCCAACAAAACAGTGCTTTAAATGCAACGAAGAGGCTCTCATCAATCTAAACATATTTTATTACGCACCTAGCGATACAATAATATTATGGAACCAATTTCAAGTATTCGTTTATGTAAATAAAAAATTCGAAAATCCTGTGATAAAATTTAATTCTCGGTATGAAATACTGGACATAATGATCTGTGATATCTATTTAGCTTGCGTAGATAATTGTGGCGAAATCCAATTACATTGTTTAAATACTAATTCAAAAATTAACTTTTCCGTGGGCCGTGGGACTTCAAACTACATTGTGGCCGTATCGCTCATCAAAAATAACATGGCTTTATGTTTGAAATACAACTCAAATACATATTCTATATGCTTAAATCAAATTGCGAAATATTTCGAGTTTGAGAATCAAGTACAATTATTGCTGTCCAATGACGCGTTACCACCTTTACAGACACCAGACAAATACATTATAGTACACGGAAGTCTCCAGTCCATTACAGATGACCATTTAGAAACTCTGCAAAACATGTTTTGTATTAATGAGTACCAAAAAATCTCAAAGAAGCATGAGTTGGTAGTGCTATCCTTTGATAAATTAGATGTTTACAGTTGCATAATAATGTGTGAAAAGTCTCAATGTGAAGCTAAACTAGTGAAACTATACTCATGTCCATCTGAAATATCCAATATAAACATTATTGAACCTGAACTGACGGTTGTGATAACTCTTGCTATAGGCACAGTTGTTATTCTGTCCTGGACTGACCTTAAGACACCTAAGATAGTTCATTTGAACATTGCAGTTCACAAATCCTTAGTTTACAAAGATTCCATCATCTACACCGATGGGAAATCTCTATGGAGAGCCGACAGTATTATGTCCCAAGACATAAAATTCAGGCAATTCTTTGTGAAACAAGTTAAAGATTTTATAGTAGTGGGAAATGAGATTATTTGTACCACATTCACGAATTTAATATACACATTTTCTATAGATAGTCCAGAGTCATATTTGAAGGATGAATCCATTGAGTACTGTCCTGCAGACAGGCTGTTGAACAACAATTTTGATTATGTAAAGAAAATTTTGGATGAAGTTAATAAGAATGATGTGATAGCCAAAAAACTGATGAAAGAAAGAGATTACATTACTGCATTGTCTCTGTCCAACAGGCAGGATGTGATGGACAGCGTTATAAACCACAAAGTTATAGTGTATGACAACTATGACGATGCAATTACGGAAAATAAAAAAGCTATCCTAACAAGCAACTTTAGCGAGTATTTTGAGGAAGAATCATTCTTCATTTTAGTTAAAATCTCCACAACTACAGAACATAAACTGGACCATATTCTATCAAATGCAATCGGAGACTTGAGAATTCACTTAACAGTCTCTACAAGTAATAAAGTAATTAAAACTATAAGTATTAAAGTTGCAGAAATTAAGAAACTTAGTTATTTAATACCACTAAAGAGCAAAGCTATTGATTTCACAGAAATTAATGTAAATATTAAAATTATGTCAACAATACCGGGAGCTTTGGATGCTAAGCACAAGACATTTACCATATTGTATAGAAAACAAGTAACATTACACTCAGAACACTTTATAAAATTCAACCTGATTCTTAATAGACGGCAGTGCTTGAAAAGATTTGAAGATCCGTTAGCAAAACTTATTTTGCAAACCTCTATCAATAATTTTGGACATCTATTTGAATTTGAAGATGGTATAAAGCACAGACCTTCAAAAGAATGGCAAATGTATGTAAGATTGCCGGATAAATATCAAGAAGTATTCAGAAATAAGGAGAACACTAAACATTTAACTTCCAAGAAGGTCACATACTTCCTCCAACAATTCACGTCTGAAGAATTTTTAAAATCAAAAAGTAATTTAATATTCTCCATAGGTAATGAAAAAGTGAAGATAGAGATATACAATGATAGCTTCTCAAATCCCCTACTGAAGTTGTCCAGTGCTAATATAAAAATATTGTCAAATATGAGAAATTTCTTATCTGACTTGATTTACTGTGTGTTCACCAATTTCACTCCTGGGAATGAGTTCATCAATCTTTCTTCGTATGCTGCTATTGAAGTTAGTATCTACTTTGAACTGTATCTACTACTTACTTTAAAATATCTTTTATTTTAAATATTAAAAATTCGTTTTACAACTTCACGCCTATTCCTCAATGGGGTAAGCACAAGAGCACATAATGAATAAATGACACAATATAACACCCACTTTTCACTGGTTCTGTTTCAATTCCAAAAAATATTATACATGACCTGGGATCGAAACCTCTTGCTCGGGGACCACTAAACCTACGAGGAAGTCTAAATAAAAATATCAAGACAAAAATACTGTTAGCCAAAAAAATTTTTTGCAAATCAATAGTAGTTTGTCTAATTGATGCTATCACGTTAAATTTTTCTTCTTTTTAGTATTTTTGTGTAGAGTATATTTCAACTGTTCCAGAATCTACAGAAAGCAGTACGAACATGTATTGCAGCTTCATCAGAAGATTTGGAACCCCTCATAGAACAATTTGAAAGGAATGTCATTGGAGTTTTACCTATTTAAAAATAACCAATGCTCTTGTTTATATATTATTTTATCTAATAAGACTAAACTGTGATCAAAATGTAATAAATCGTTTTTTACTTTCGTAATTGTTTGTCTGTTCATAATACCTTTACCTATGTATATTAACTGTTCATAAGTAGCACAGGCACACATTGGTCTGCTTATAACCATGGGACATAAGTGTCTGCATTGTTTTAAATTTTTAATAATAGGTGCATTTCAAAAATGAAACTGAGTCTGAAGAGATTTTTGTAAAATTTTCTAAAATTATGTACCAATTTAGAGACCATCAATTTAGAGACATCTGTGCAAGACAGAGAATATAAAAGAAAATAAAACGCAAGAATTAATTATAATCTATGTTTATTCTTAGACCATTCTCCTCAGGAGCTCGTTGATCTTGTCTTCACGGTTTCCGAAGTCACCTCCGTCGACGTAGTGAATGGTCTTCTTGCGCCAACCACCGGTCGGGTTGTTCAGCTTGAATGGCCAGAGGAAGTTGCTGGCGTACTGCGGGGCAAAAGAATAATGTTAGCATTGCATTTAGTCTATGACTGGTCTATTATTTGAACAGCGGTTTTGTATTACGGCAAAGTTATTTTCGTCAAAATTGTATGTAGATGACAATTTCTGAATTTAGTTATTTTTTATTACGAATTAAATACAATGCATAAGAAAACGCAAGATGATTATTATAGCTGTAATCTTATGCAGTAATAACTAGTTTTTAACTATCGACAGAAAGATGTTGAGGATAAATCTACAGCTACTGACCAACACGAAATGGGGGTTCAATGTGACGAAAAAAAGAAAATATTGGTGATGTTTACTAGTCAACTAGTCTCTTTTTATGTAGTTAGGTACAAAATTGTTAACTCTTACCTTGAACTTCTCACCGACGCTGAAGATCTCGTGGATGAGGTCCTCAACACAGATGATGTTCTGTTTGCCGAGCTTCTGCTCAATAATTGTGTTGGAGGTGATGGGCACACGCTGGCCGTTCACCTTGGCGAAACCGCGCTTGTATACCAACTGTAGAAGAAATAGAGGTCATTTAGAAATTGTGACTGTAAGAATTTTCTTTTGTCAGTCGCCTACTGTTTAGTAATTTCCTTATTTTATGGTCGAGTCGCGTGTAGTAGAAGTCTCTTATTTCTACTCTGCATTGTAGAAACCAAAAGTGTAAATACAATACAATAAATTTCTTTTACACTAAATATAATCATTCTGAATATTTTACTTGCTATCTATGTCCAAGAATTAGTCAAAGGGCTAAAAGTTTAGTCAATTGTTACATTTATCCTATACATTAAAAAAAACTTCAATAGTGCTGGTACTAACCTCCCTAACACTCTTCAGGTTGGGGTATCCCCACGCGATGTAGGGCTCGGCAATACGGAGCATGTTCACGGTAGCCTTGTTGAGGCGCACGAACACACCATTGTTGATCTGACGCAGTCTGAACAACTGCAGAACTTTGCGGACCTATAGGACAAAAGAAGTAATATTAACATCGTTTTAATTTACGATAAGGCTTTGAAGACCAGTTACATGACTATTTAGAAATGATTATACCAAGAGAAAAAGATAATTTTCTAGTAGGTTGGTGTCTAAATCTCAAAATTAAATGTCATACATGTACATGGACTGTCCTTGACGTAATAAGACACGCCATCGGCGCAAGACTTTGTTCCAATTTTAACGTCGACATTTTAACAGGGGAAAATCTTTTCACATGAATTCAAAGTGCTCTATAGCATGTCTGTGTGACAAAAACACCTTGACAATACACCAAAATTAATACTCTCATTGCATCACCTAAACGTTGGCTACTAAGAAAGCCCATGGCATTAAGCCCGCCTATGTACTCTTGTTGCATAAAGTTAAATAAATAAAAATTTACCTTGGGTGAGACCTGGTTGATACCACGGATACGGATGACGAAGGCGAGCTTAGCTTCACCAGGTACGTAGTAGTTGCCGCGGTTGCGAGCCTGGAAAGAAAGGATACATTTCAAGTCAATTATGCATTTACAGTCTTCCTACAAAAAATCAGTTGAACATTGATTCAACACATGTTTAGCTAAACACTGTCTAAATAGTTAGACACACGTTTACGTACTCGTCGAGTACCGGTTTTGTAGACACAATTATAGAACAATAGGTTGCGGTCACCGGTGACCGCTTGGTGTTTGACAGTTTAATGGTTTAACTGTCGCTACCACAAAACCATATTTAGTTAACCTTTGTTCAATCATTCATTCTTGCAATGTCGCAATATATTTTTTTCAAATCGGTCTTTTGCAATTTATTCCATGCATAATATCCAAAAAACAGTTATTTAGTTTGTCCATCAAATAAAAACAGATTATTTAACACGTTAAACGCCATGGCAGTCACCGGTGACCGACATCAGCGGAGGATTTGCCTTTAACAGTTTTTTATTGGCAGCCAATGCCTTAAATTATATGTGAATTATGATAAGTTTAATTACAATTCATTTTAGCATTTCATAAAATACATGATGAGCACAGAGTATGTGACTAGTATAGTTATGTCAAAGAAACGGAACATAGTCGATTGTCATTGTCATATTCTGTGGTTGCTGTCACCGTTCCGATGTGGTGGCATTGTTTATGTTTTTTTACAAGTAACCTGTATTTTATCAGTGCAACAATTGTACCACCACAATGGTCACTAGGAAGGTCTCCCTTAATTAAATCCACGATTTTATTTGCAAAAACTTTTCTAAATCTGTATTCAAAACTTGCATCAAGTTCATCAATGTTCAAATTTATAAATTCGTACCCGAGTTGTTACATTATTTCGAAAACATTCGGCGTAATCGATGTCTTGTACATCTATTAAGTCCAAGTAGTCTATAAAGTCTATGACGTCCATTTAGATTACTTCAATATAAATCAATAAACTTAAAAAAAATCACACGTAATATCACGGTAAACGTCGCAAACAAAATGACAGACTGAGCTAGAACACTCACTGAACTAGCTTCTTTCGATGTTTTAAACATCTAAGGTGGGTCTGTCTCTAAAACATTCTTTTGTAGTACTTTTACTAAACATCTGTTGAACAGGTGTCTATCTTTTTTGCAGTAAGACTACAAGTCTTTTTAGATATCATGACATGAACACATTGTCATCTGACAATGTTTTTTTTTTGCATTCAACATTTTTAATTGCAATCAGTCTTCGGATTATGTAACTTGAAATCTGATCTGTGAAAATGACACAATTTAAAATTAAACATTGTCTATCTTACCTGTCTGGCTAGCCTGATCTCATCTCGCTCCCTGATGCGGTATTCCTTAACATACTGTTCAGCCCTCTTGAAGATTTCCTTCCTCTTCTTGATGGCAGATGAACGCCTCTTGAGGGTAACCTAGTAATAAAACATTACATTGAATAAGTTATCTTTATACAAGTGTTTAACTCGTCGAGTATCGTCATTATAGACACAATTATGAACAATAGATTGTGGTCACCGGTGACTGCTTGGTGTTTGATAGTTTAAATTAGGAAAGATATCACTTTTATAGTGTGTGTTATTCAGGTATACCCTGTTATGTGACCATTAAAAAATTAAGTCCTGAGCTAAAATTACTTGTTTAAAGTCTCCACAAATCAATACTTCATTTACTGAGTACTATGAGCAATTTATCCTTATTAATATTATTTGTGCAAAAATTTATTTATTTATCTTTGTTCCATATTGCAATGGAGCATTTTACAGTACATAGTTATTTTTGTATGTGTCTTAGAAATTTATATAATGTAGTTCCACCTTTGATCATGCAGATGGAAAGCTTGTATTAACATATTGCTGTGCATTCTCTTGCAAATAATGCCATTGACTTTAAAAATCCGTTAATAAAAGAGGTTATGTTGTCATACCTGCAGGCGACGAGTGCGGAGAGCTTCCCTCCTCTTGCGGTGCTTGAGCACTGACTCAGGGACAGCGGGCAGCTTCTTGCTGTCCTCCTTACCCTTCACTGGCTTCTTCTCGGCCGGAGCCTTCTTGTCTGTAGTCGCAACCATCGTGCTAGAATTGTAACCACTTATTGTAGATTAAGAGGAATTTGTTTTGTTATTTGGTATGGAGTTGGGTTTCGTTAGCTGTTGAAGCTGGCGGTAGATTTGTTAGAGGTAATAAATGGAATGGAGTAAAAACAGATGTAGTCTTGCCAATATTGTTGCAACCATGCAGTTTTTAAACAATATCCTTGATGATATTCTTTTTCTTACATAGTTAAAATTCAATGTTAGCGGTAATACTAGATTGTTGAAACAATATAAGTATTTGTCAGCAGAGCCCCAGTACTTGGGCATCAGACAATAACAGATTTAGTAACCATGAAACCTGAGAAATATGATGTTGGCATGTGTTTTTAAGTTTGAAATACGGACAATGATAAAAGAATAATATAAATTGTCACTAGTTACAAATGAATACTTGATATTTTTTATAAGTTTTGATGCCAAACCACACTTTATTGACGTTGAGGTTAGGTCGTGTTGCATGAACTTTTGAACTTACGAATTGGGCTAAATATGCATATATACGTGAACTAATTTGCAAATTAAAGATGTTTACGCGTGTTCAAAAAATTAAATTGCTACAATATATTCATTACAAGTAAAAAACAAACGCATTTGGTGTGGCGGCATGACATCCTACTACCCATCACAATTATCAACACATTTCACAAAATTCACTAAACCTTTTATTATACTAACACTGCAGTTGCAATTCTTATGAAATTACCGTGTGTTTTAGCACTTAAATACTAATAAATGTATAATTTTTTAACAACCTGCGGGGCAAAACTCCACGCGGCACGTGTGTCAAATTATCAAAAGAAAGACAGAAAATAGACTTCCGCCAGTCGCCATTTTAAATTAGTTTTTCAGTGTAGCAACACTAAAGACTGTTCAATATAATGTTGTTAATGTTAGAAAAGCTGTATTAAGGATTATAAACTATACTAAGGTATTTCTTTCGATCTTTGATATCTTAGTCAAATTTAAAATGAAAACATACCTCGAGACACACAAACACTTCCGATATGTAGATAATTTGTATATTTATAAACAGTCGGATAAATGTTACATTTGCTACGAAATGTAACAGCACTTATATTTTTAATTTCTATCTCAACTCTTTGGTAACTTCCGGTGCCGCGAGTTTACAAAAATTAAAAACTATTGAGCTAACGTTTCCCTAGTAACAAATAAACATAGTGAGATTTTGCAAATAGTTGCTTTACTATCCAAGTTTTTACATATTAATTAGGAATAATTTATCGTAGTTAGTCAAAATGGGTGATTTGAAAGACCCACAACTGAGTGCCCTAAATGCAGGGGAGCTAGATTTGTATGTCGACAGTATGGAACCATCGCGTATTGACTACATAGGCAATCAGGGGTAAGCATACACGAGGTTCTTATATCTTTTTCATTAACAATACGAACAAACAAATAATGCTACCACAAATGAGGACTTACTCGTTATGTTCAATGTGTAAGGTATTTAAATTTAATGCTATGTCTTTCTAGATGGGTAGACTGGCACATACGGTTGCAGAAATTGAATCAGCAAGCTGTCTTGGAAGCGTCTTCAATGATGGAGGAACGCACCAAGGAAACCCTAATTTCCTCTGGAAAGGTAAATACTAATATAGAAAAACTCCCTTGTGTTTTATAATCTCATATGTAAGAGATTAGAAGATTAAATTATTATGTTTTCGTCTTACTCACGTAATAATTTATTTAGTATATCTCACTTACGAAAGTTACAATACAAAGATTACCTAAATTTTCAGTTGCCAGTGTTAGTCTATGAAGCGATATGCATACAAGTATGGCGGACGAAGATCTACCCGCAAATAATTAAATTGGAACCAGCTCCGGAGAATACATTCGGCGTTTATATGGTGGTGAGTTTAAAATATCGTAATAAACGTTTAAGTTCCTCTATGCCGTCTTAAAATGACGTCATTCAATGTCAAATAAAGGTCATTCATATTTCTTTAAAAATATCAGTAATGGTACCGTATTTCAGGGTGTCATATAGAGAAAACTATTACTAAACCTTATTCCCCGAAATGGTTTTGCCATTTGCCCGAATAAAAAAAATTAACAATCCCCATTATAGGATCGAACCATGTTTCAAATATGGAGATCGTTTTTTCAAATCAGCAGAGTAGTTAAATCTAATGAACTTGTTGGGATCCTTTAGTGGTGGCGTGTGGTGTGTAGGTCCCGAGATACGGTGTAGCCTTGTGTAGGGGTTAGTATAATTGAAAGTTACTTCATGAACGTCACCTAAATATTTATTTAGTCACCATTACATATAAGTCACACTGGATATCAGTCTAAGTTAGGCACACGGTTGAGCCCCGATTTACATGTTTGCGCCACCATTGCGCGTAAGGGACTAGTGCTCGAACCTGCCGCAGTCCCGCTTGGCGATTCCTAACTTTTGCCCCACAAAATGACAACAAATTATGACCTAGACTCTGTTTAAAACCAATGTTCTAATAATTATTATCTATGACTTGCAGTTGTATCATGAGGCAGCGACTGTTGGATTACTGGAAACCGTGTTGTTCCACGAGGACGGCGCGCAGTGCATCAGCGAAGTTGTGGTCGACTTACTGAACTACGCCGTCGACCAGCTCACTGCTTTGTTGGCTCTTATCAAGTAAGTTCTTGCCCTGTGACGATAGAGTAGATTTGACAACATTTCTAGTCTTGTTTAAATCTGTGCTTTCTACGGGTCTAAATTAGACCCCCTGAGCTAATCAAAATTGGAAAGTATGGTTTTGCTTTCCACTGTCTGTTTTCTTATTTTAACCTACCCTGGTAAAAAGAGGGAGAAGGGACCTTCAGTTCTTACCAGCCTAGCCAATTTTAGGATCATCTATTAAATTCTCTGAGACTTTTTCTTCTTCCGCATAGTAACGAGTACTTGAAGCCAATGTCAGCAAAGGAGCTAGAATGTGAGACTGCCATTGAAGAACTGGAGCGTCAGAAACGAGACCTGCAGTTTGACATCAGCATGCGATGCGTCTCTATCGTGCGGTAAGCCATTATTACACTGGCTTTCCTATTAAGGTACAATCGACAAAGTTGAAGGTCGACTATCATTAGGCGATATTCGCATGCACTTGACGTGAGCGACCACAGAAAACAGCGCGGATAGCGAGATAGCCACAGCCACAGGATTTGTTTTATATGTGTAGTCTTTGCCGATAGTACCTATTCTATCTACTTAGCGGTAGAAGATGCTCTTGATACTTATTCACGACCCAGAATTCTTAATAAGTACCTATTTTCGGAGCATAAGCTGAGGTTTGATAGGTAGATACACACTTAACCACATATAGAAATAA